AAGCATAAAATTAAGTGTTGTAGAGATGAGGACGCTCAGATGAATGAGTGGCTTCACTCTTATAAACAAAATGTGAAATGAGTATATACATGAAAAAGTTATAGTAGCTCCATCGACAAATAAGATTAAAGAGAGTCTACTTAGATGGTTTGGTCACATAAAATTAGACCTGTCAATATTGGACCAGACCCGAAAACCCGATCCGAACCCGACCCGAACCCGAAGCGGGTCAGGTTCGGGTCCGGAAAATCGACCCGTTTGCAAAATCGGGTCGGGTTGACCCGGAAACCCGGAATTGACCCGGAATGACCCGAATCAGCTCTGCCCGGCTGCCCCGGCTGCCCCGCTCTGCCCAGCGACCCCGCGTGGCGCACAGCGCACTGGCGCATGCCGCGTACCCGGGCTGCCCGCAGCCCGCATCGAGGCATCGAGCCCCATGCGCGGCGTGACCGCTCCGCTCCGTTCACTCGAGAGTCGCGTCGCCGCTTGCATCGGGCCCGCTGCCTCTCAGCCCTTGCCAGCATTGCCGCCGCTACACCGTTGCCGCTGCTGCACCACTGCCGCTACACCGCTGCCGTTCTGCCTTTGCACCGTGCGGGAACTCGAAAAATCAAACCGAAGCGGGTCGGGTCGGGTTGACCCGAACCCGAAGTGGGTCGGGTCCGGGTTTGGAAAATTGACCAGTTTGTGAAAATGGGTTGGGTTGACCCGAACCCGAATAGTACCGGGTCAATTCCGGGTTCGACCCGAACCCGACCCGTGACCCAAAATTGACAGGTCTACATAAAATGTTTGCCTTCCGATGACCCGGCTAGAAAAGTAGATGTATTAGATTTGGCCTATGTTAAGAAAATTATAGGTATATCTAAAAAGACTTGGCCACAAAATATTAGAAATGACATTTTTTTTATTAAATTTAAATGAGAATTTGATTCTTAATAAGACACAATGCAAAAAAAAGATTCATGTAGCTAACGCCACGTAGTGGGATAAAGGCTTGATGATGTTGTTGTTGTTGTTGTTTAAGCAAATGTTTAAATTTCATATATCTTAGAGAGTTACCACACGTGTTAGATTTTTTTTTGTCATGATAATTATACTCAACCTATTAAATCTAATGCATCAAAAGAAAGTAACACAATTATTATCAAAGACACCAAGGGAAAATATGTTGCTATACATTTGGCTCCAAAATTTCTATTAAAGCTTATTTTAAATATCATCAAATAGGTCAGTTTGCAATCACAGTAGAAATTTGCATATTAATGTGCAAGAAGAAATGATGAAAAGATTAGTGTTTAAAAAAAAAAAGAATTCTTGAAATTTATTTAGATGTTATGTGATGCATCATTACACATCTAAAAAGAAATCTAAGAGTGTATTTTCCAAACCTATTTTAAACATGATAAACTTTATGAATTTTTATATGGTTTGTAAGAAAAGATCAAAATGCGCAAGAAAATATAAAAAATAAGAAGCTTTATTATAAAAATTGATTTAGAAGTAAAAACTCGAAAAAATTGTGAAAGATATAAAGAGGTTCGTAAGAAGTCTAAGAAAATAATATGTGATAAAAAAATTTAGCTTTTAATAGTTTATATAATAGATTGGATATTAAGCACAACCAAGCAAAAAGTTAGGAGAAGGATTTAGTTCAAGTGAAGTGTATTAAAGATGAAGATCAAAAATTTATTTTATTACAATAAGATATTCAACAAAGGTGGATGAGATATTTTGATAAGCTTTTCAATGAAGATTATGAGAATATGATTGACTTTAATGACCTAACATCTTAAATAGAAAATAGATACATTTTTTTTTTGACATATAGTAAAAGTAAAGTTAGAAAAGCTTTAAAGAAAATTAACTGTAGATAAACTGTTGGACCTGATGATATTCCACTAAAGGTGTGGAAATCCTTAGGAGATGAAAAAATTTAATAGCTTACCTAACTTTTCAATATTATTTTCAAGACTAAAAAGAAGCTAGATAAATGGAGGAGTGTGTTGATTCCTATTTTAAAAAATAAAGGTGATGCACAAGAGTATACAAATTATAGAAGAATTAAGTTAATTTATCATACTTTAAAATTTTAGAAGAGAGTTATTGAACATAGGTTATGACATGATACTAATGTTTCTCAAAATCAATTTGAATTCATGCCGGGTAGGTCTACAATGGAAGCTACATTTATTGAGAGGTTTGATTCCTGCCTACGCTCTAGTTCCCGACGTTGGCGATCTTGACCCGCACGTGGAAGCCCTCTAGCCGCACGTCTACGAGCGACCCTGCTCACTCCTCTGGGCCAATCTCCTAACTTGCTCCCAACGCCGACCTCATGTCCGACTTCGACACACACCCGACAGACAGATCCTGCACGGCTGAACTCGAGTCGACACAATCAGCCTAATTCGACCCAATCAAACCGATCTGACACCCACTCGTTTAATTTCAATTGAACTGAGCCTTCTCTCCCACTCAATTTTGATCGAATCTAGGTATATATATAATTATAATAATAATAATAATAAAAATAAACAGAGCAAGCAACATGTATCAATAGTTTCAAATCAAATTAGCCATCTTTCCCTAAATAAACTTTCCTAATTTCCTTCCAATCAAATCAATCATTTTTCTTTAAATTAACTTTTTTAATTTCCTCCAAATCAAATCAGCCGGTCCATCAGATTCTTTGACAGCCAAGTAAATGAATAGCATAAAACTATCAAAGGGAATGATAACATGTGTTGCTACAATCTAAAATATCTGATCGTTAATTTAAAACCTTTAATTAAAACCTTTAGGTATTCATCAGACTGCAAGTCCAATTGAGATGGTTCATCATGTAAGCATGAAAATTGTCACTTGATGAGAATGAGCACTCAAAACGTAAATGGCAAAGGAACCAACTTGAGAGGCCAACTTCATAATACCACAAAGACTAGTTTGCACATTTCTCCATAAAACCTAGATGAAAGTATTGAAGTAGTTTTTTTATCATGCAAAATCTGCTCGTGACCACAAGCCCCAAAATTTTTTTTGGTATGCACTCTTAGAAAGGATGTAGATCTCATATCAGTATCCCAACATACATAAAGATCTTAATCTGCATTTTTTGCTAGGCATATACATAAATAGCACATCGAGATGAACTACAAAACTGCCAAGTAAAATTAAAAACGTAAAGATATAGTTGATTTTCATAGAGGAAAAAGAAAACTCAGTAGAGGAGATTTTGCACATGTTAGAATTAAACTATAACATTTTCACCATACAAATTTAAAAAAGCTCGAAGTAAGATCTTTCAAACTTCAAGAAATTCTTAACAAATTGGTTTCAAATGTTCCTTTGATTGATTTAACTTAAGAATTTAATTTAGGCGTGGTTTAGAATTGAGCATCTAATACCATATTGTTAGACCGGTCCATTGGACCAGTCATGCCAATCCATGCAGGACTGGCCCAGGCGCGAACGAGGTGGGCGCTCTCCGCCTCCTTCTACAGCCGCACGAGCCGCATGCTTTTGGGAGCCAAATAGGAAAGAATTTTGGGGAAATTAAGAGGGAAATTTGAATGTAGGGACTGTTTAGGGATTTCCTTTTGATTTGTATGCATTAAACAATTTGTTTTCCTAGGGTTAGGACATCTTAAATTTGGCTCAAATTTGAGATCTCTTAGATTTAGGACGTCTTTGGGCTCTAGCGGCGTCTAGAGATTTGGGAGAGATCAATCCTCTTGAATTGAGGATCAATTGTATCTTGTTTGTTTTTCTTCCGTTAGTTGTTTTCTTGAAATAAAATCTATTGTTCCCTTATTTTCATTGGAGTTTAGAAGATTTTCTCGCTGTTTTCCAAAGTTCGATAGGAAATACTTGAGATCTACAAGTGTTTCCTATTACATATCCAGACTCTTCAAACTTTTTGTGCACATACGTGGTATTTCTGCAACTAGAGCTTCTAAATTTGTGAATAATATTGTTGTCCTTGCACTTCCGGCCATTACTGCCAAAATGGCAAATGGAACAAATCATTACTGATGAAGTCACCTCAAGTGTTTCTAGAGTATTCCAATACTTGGTTCATTGTAAAAATCAACCTCATAATGTAGTTTCTTGAAACACAAATGAAGAGTAGATGTACATGGTGCCAGATCAACTTGAATACCAGAATTTAGACTTTCTGAAGGGCCTTCTTTTGGCCCTGGAGAGTTAGTGCAGCAAATGAACTGAAAAATCTTAAGTCTGCACAAAACACAAATTATACTAGCCCATAAAATTGTATTTTATCTTATTTCTTTATCAGAGTTGTCTTTTATTTAAATTAAGTAGAAATTATCTTTTTAGAATAATTACTTTTTTTTAATTTGAAGCAAATGATAGGATTTAATTTGAATTTTAAATTATAAAAAACTTTTTAAATTATTAGGATTTTGATGATGTTGTTATGGTTATCTATGAAATAAAATTAGAATAACCTCTTAGCCTCACTCTCACTCTCCCTCCTGCCAGTGAATTCTTCCCACACTTGTACAGCTCCCTCTCTGTTTCAGAGAATAAAAAACCCCATCCACTCATTGCTCTGAGCATTATTCCTGAGGCATCAATGTCTCTCTCCATCATAATCGTTTACTTCAATCCTCCCTATTTTCTTGTTTCTTCAAGAAGCCAATGAACCCCTCCACCCCTAATCAAAGTCCTCCATTCTATCTTCAATTCTCACACATCTAAGGAATGGATTTAAGATAAGGGAGAAATCAAGTAATTTTAAAGCGAAGCAAAAAGAAGATCAAGGAGATCTCAAACTACAAAATCTCCCTCAGTAAACTAGTCTAAACTTCATAGAAAGAGGTCACACTGGAATTATGAAAAACTTTCATAAAACCATGGTCATGCGGCACATATCTACCTCTTTACCAACAGCACCATCAACAACATATATTTTCTACATATTTCCGACTTCCATTTTAGAAGGTAATTTATAATAGAACCAAAAGTCAGCTTACTTGTGAACCTTTCCTCCAGTCTTTTTTCTCAATCACCGGTAACATATTTTCAGAATACCTGCCAGCTCCAAGCGGGCCAGGATCTTCAAAACTGAAATTAGAGTAATGATATTAGCTAATAGATCATAAATTGATAACTAAGAAATATCCGACAGACTTTCATTAATTTTATCAAAATAGGTAGAATCTAATGCTTACCAGTCAACAAAGCTGATATTTGTTTCCATAAGATAATCATATACATAATCAAAATTATGTAGGGGTACACAACTGTAATATAGAAAAATGATAATAATATATAAAACTTGCTAAAAAATTTATAGCAGCAGTCAAGAATGATTAAAATACCAAAAAAAAAAAAAAAGATCACCTGTCAGATAACAACACAAAATACTGATTATTAGCATCTTTGAGTGCATTGGCGAGGAGCCTCTTCTCTGCATCTACCATTGAAATTTGACCCCAAGACACCTGAACATATTTATAACGCATAATAAGCAGTATGCTCCTATTTTCAGTATATACTCTATAATAGTTTCAAATACAACATATATGCACAAATATAATTTCTATACACATTTAAAAAAAAAATTACCAAAGTAAATAGTGTAATAAACACGCACAATTGATTTTGTATATTACTACTTTCAAATACATGATCAAGACTATTGATATTAATCTACAAACCAAAGAACTCATTGTAGATCTTATTTCATCAATTTTTGTGAAGATTTAACCGTTGCTAAAACTTGATAAATTATAGATAGTTTGTTATGCCTCACTAAAAATATTTTTTTGCATATTTTTTGAAAAATAAATCCATTAAAATTGTTCTAGATGCCATTTCATATATGATATTTTTTTCAATTGATTTGAGAACACCTATATCATTAAATTAATGAATCATTTATCTCATCATCTAAATAATCCATTAGAATGCTACCGTTTGTATGCATAGGGGAAATATTCCTCATTATCTAAATTAAAGGATAGCCAACCCCACATATGATGTGCATGACTAAATCATCCTAAAATTTGACATCTTTTATCCATTAGTCTTGATTTTCTAATTGAATGTTGTCTGATCTAAAAATAAAATAAAACAAAATCACAGGAATAAGCATCTCTATCCATATAGAATGATAGCAGTCTATCCCAACAAAAACATACATATATACATACATACATACATTTATATAAATCTATATGGGGTTAGCCATTTCTCCACCTAAAGGAAGAATTATCATCCTCCACCCATTTAGAATTTGATGTTATTAAATTAAAATGTAATGGAATACATTCATTTTTTTAACAATATTAAAACTAATGTTATACATGATATCAATAATTTTTAATATTAATTGATCATTAAGAGATACATAAATTTTTGTCAATTAATGACTATGATCACAAGAGAAAAAATATTGATTTCAAGCATTATGTCTTGCAATTAAATAAAGGGTTACTCAAGATATTTAGAGTGTATTTGATGATTTTGATTGGTGAAATACTGAAATGCATAGAAAAAACTAAACCTTAAGAAGGCTTCTTTATGTGGTTTGATAAGCTTAGTTTTTTTTTCACATGTTTAGTTAAGTATTATGAAAATTGATGAAACTCAATCCATAATGATTTTTCATTATTTAAACCGCAATCAACAATGCTGTTGAATTTGAAGAATATATAAAGAAATAAATACAAAACATAAAATTAGAAGGAGAATGGTCACACTCCTCCACATCATTAATATCATTAATATCATTAAGCCATATCACAACTATGTGGGATTGGCATCATATATGAATCCACATTTTTCAATTATTCTTGTTAAATGTTGACTAAGGTGTTAAACCTATTCTTAGCAAATCATCATGAGTAACTTTTATCGAAGCAATCTAAGTTAACCATTTTCCTTCATAATCCACAAACTCGTCTAAGTGGCATATTATTTATCTTTCATTGCATATATTCGGATTATCTTAAGTATATTTTTACTTACCTTATCTTCAATAGATGTAACTCTAATACTTTCCCTAATATAATCATCATTAATTTATCCATCATAATCTTGTCATACATGTATCTAAGTATTCTTAATTTTATCACATTAAACTTAGATAATTTATTTTATTACAATCCAACATTTAAATTCATATAACGTCACTAGCCTAATTTTAGTTTTATTAAATCATGATATCTTCTAATCATACAAAATTCCTAATGCACTTCTCATTTTAACCATCCAACATTTACTCTAGAAGTTATATTAATGTATATGTCTTCATTCTTATGTATAATAAATTCACTATACTTAAATATATCATACTTAGATATCACACAACCTTATAATAATATTAATGATATTTTTTAACATCATGCACTAAAATAACAATTACTCATTTTTTATTCTACTAATTCTAAAACATTTCTCATCTAATTATTTTCTCCATTGTTTAAAATTTTCATTAATTTTAATGAACGTCACACAAGTTAGAAATATATCATCTACAAATAAATACACCAAACAACCTCACTCTAAATATTATTTGTAAGAATTTTCATAACCAACACAAAGAAATATATAAACTCAATATTGATCATTGATGTAAACACATGGTAATTGAAATTCTTGATGTTAGCATATGTTTTACATACACCATTCTACCTTCAAAAACAATAAATCAATCATGGTACTAAATCATATGCCTACACATGATTAATAAAAATAATATGCTGATGATTTCTTAGTTTTTTATAATTTGACATTAATTATCTTACCACAAAAATCACTTCTACAATTAATCTTCCTGACATGAAACCAAATTGACCTATGTAATTGATGTAATTTTTTAAAGTCTATATTTAATTGATGTAATTTTTTAAAGTCTATGTTCCATTACTCGCCCCCATAGCTTTATTGTATGACTCTTAAGTTTGATTTCACAATAGTTAGCACAATTTTAACATTAATTTTGTTCTAAGTACTAAATTTTTTTTCTCCAACAGTTTGACATCCTCTTAATCTTCAAAATTCCATGAAAAATACTTTTTAACTAAATCCTGCAATATCCCTCATTAGTCTTTAAATCTCAACAGGTAACTCATACAAATATGAGGCCTTATGCTAACGTATCTTTTTTAGAGTCAAATTCACTTCACTTTTTTTTTGGATTAATGTATAATGTACTCCATTTATTTGTTTGTTATGCTCTTTTAAAATAATTTTTTAAATTTCTTATTTGTTAATTTCTCAAAGTAATATTTTCATCTTTCCTAGGTGTCTTCATCTATAATCAAAATCCTATAATAATAAACTTTAATGCATCTAACTTGATCAAAATCTTAGGTCTTATATATATATATATATATATATATATATCTAAAAGACCTCATTTTAAGTGAGTGGACCCTACCCAGAATTGCGTACGCCTCACAAGGAATTGCGCAATTGCGCCTCTGAGGCGCGCCTCAGCCCCTGTGAGGCGTACGCCTCTTGCAAGACCAAAATTGCGTAGGCTATGAGGCGTTTTTGGGAGGAATTGCGCAAAGGCGCGCCTCTCATTGCGCAATTTTAAACAGATATATATATATATATATATATTAACAACTATTACACTACGTAATATAGTCAGTCTTTCTCTTAGAATCACCTTACAAGTTTTGCAAGAAGTTTTTCTTTCCTTTAACTAAAAAGAAATTTATTTGTGATTTGGTGACATAACTTTTATAACCAAGTGTTTTATCATTTCTTAGATTATGTGTCCTCTATCCAAAATCATAAGCTGCTATGAAATCAACTATAGCTTCTATAGCGTTTCTATCTCCTATATCATAAACAGCATAAACTTTATCATAGCTCATCCTAAAAGAACCTATATAGCAATTTAAATAACCTCCAATAATTATTTTTCCTCAGAAGGTATATGCTCAAAATAGTCGATGCATTTCCTTAAATTATCTTCTAAACTAACTTGAGGAGCATAAATACTAACCACATTCATAATTTTTCATCAATCTTTAACTTAATATAAATCACTAACTCTATTAATCTCAACAATTTTAAGTTTTAGCTCTTTGTCTAATAAAAACTAAACCTCATTCCCATGTTCAACATTTCTACCATCAAACATAAACTAATGTATAGCCTTCTCCAAAATGGTTAATTGTTTTCACCTTTTCATTTAATTTATTGTAAACAAGCAATATTTGTTCTTCTCCTTAGCATAGTGTCCACCTTTTCTGCTGAATTGCATTATAAGTTCTTTCCCTAGAAATGAACTATCCTGTTACCATATTATAGCATGAGAACAACAATAAAGATAAATGTTTCGACATGAGCAGTTCCAAGGTCCAACAAACAAGAAGTTAGATCACATGAGAATTGATCATAAATCCTATCAAAATCAAAATGCAAACAAGCGAACTTTTTGTGCTGAATTCATCATAATTTTCAAGTGGCAACACAATATAGCTTGAAGAAGCAAACCATTCTCATAGTCTACTTGTGGGATAGACACATGCAATTTTTTTTTTGTTTAAACTTTCTAGGCACAGAAGACATGATTTTAGGAACAGCATCACATTAAAACTTGATGATGTGAGACTTGAGACTAGAAAGTTGTAGTTCGACAGAAACTAGGAAGATACCTTTTCACTGCGAATGTCCCGGCCAATAAATAGAGGGCTCACGTGAATTGGTTTTTCCCTTGAAGAATGTATATAAATGGAGAATCTACCATCATTGCCCTGTATATAGATAACTGGGTAAAATACAGAAGTAATCAACCAATATAGAGAAAAGACACATTAATTAATGATATTCTAAGAAACATATATAGCACAATCCTAATCATTATTGCCTTCTACACAACAACATCGGATCATCTACGCAATCCCAGTGAGTATAACACTAGGATTAAACTCTCTTATGCACAAGTCTTTTTGTACTAAGTACCAACATCAAGAACACATTCTTTTAATCATGTGAGTTGAATAGATCTTTACATAAGTTTTGTTCTCTACCTCCCTCCCTCTCTAATATAACCTAGCCAACACTCAAATTTCTTTCTACTTATGTTTCCATGAACAAATGCACAAAATGTAGTACAAAATGACCCATTTTCTTGAAAATTTTGACGGCAAAGCGAGAAAAACTTTGCACATGCAATCATTCATGTCCTTGAACTTTATGCCCATGAATGAAGATATATGTCTTAACTACAGAACAAAAAAAGAGAGACCAGACTTGAAGTGCAATGCATACTTTTTATAATTGAGGGCAGAGCTGAATCTTATAGATCATGATCTACAGAGTTGAACTTGGACTAGAATTTGACACTCCAAATGCATTTTTCGTTGGTCATTGAGAACCATCATCATGAAGCCAAATTAGAATAAACAAAAATGTCCAATTCTAAATTGTAATGTGTTGAAAATATAATTAAAGCATAGCCTGCAGATTCTTCCACAATAAAATATATATAAATCCCATCAATAAATGCCATACCGCATCTTCCATATGGTTATATTTGCATGACTAAAAACATAAGAAAGTATGACTCCCATATTCCAAATTGTAGAGAGCCTGCGAATCAAATATTTGAGATAATGAATTACCAGAAAAAACTTCTCCCATAGCTTCTCAAAAGGCAATGATCCCGCTGTCAAGAACATGAAAGCAATTTTAGAACTTTTTTTATGAGGAAACTGCATCGAGAGAATGTCCCCTATGACAGCCTTAGAGATGAGCTCCTCATCAGTTAGAACTCTGGCTGGTACTGGGGGAAGCCAGTAGTCTAAATGGTCGCAAACTTTCGATAGAAGGTAGCAAGATGAATATTGCTGGGGTGGGTGAAGGTAGACTACGATCAATGATAAGCACACCAGAGAGATTAGTACAAGGATCCAAAGGGGCCTCTTTGATGAAGGCTTTCCTCGTGGTGCGGCCATTATCGGAATATCCAGCCACCCCTTATGTCCCTTCATTTAAAGCACTTCATCTTTGAGTTTCAACTTTTCGATCATCATAGCTTCTTCAACCGCAGCTAGCATCACCAACTGCGATCTTCTACTCACAAAATTAGCACATATTCTAACCAATCGCGCTGCAAGAAACTGGAACAGAGGGCATAGAATCACATTAAAATCATCATTTTAGCTAAAAGCTCCGAAATTTAAGTAGAACCCAATTACGATAAGAATTCGATGAAAACTGATAAAGCAGAAGTTCAATGGCCTAATTGGAAGCAAGCTTTGAAAAATTAAAGATGAAATTACGGGGAGGATGGAATTGATCTCCTCCTTACTCCTGAAGGCATTTGGCTCTTGCAGTAACCCTATCTGATGGGAACCTTTTCGAAGTCGCCCATCAAGAAACAGTCTTTCATAAGGAGATATTATTAGACTTGCGAATTCATGATTGGTCCGCACATGATTGGTCCGCATATGCGCCATCCACACACGACAGGAGAAAGAGACGAAGTAGCAACTAAACTGGTTTACGAATCAACACAAGTCCGGAATTATTTTAACATAAAAGAAACAGAAGTATTCAAATCTCCAGCTTCCAAACAACCAATTACGCAATCGAACAAATATTTATCGAGAAGGCAGCGAAGCTGGGCGAATTGGCAAGCCGGGTCTAATTGAGGTGAAACGGACCCGGAAAGTTGAAACCGAACCGTTCCGAGCTGAGAGAGCTCAGATTACGAGAGATCAAGGAAGAGCGAAGAAATGGTGGATGTACCTTCGAGTTGTTAAACTCGTCGCCGTCTTTCAGGGCTCCGGCTGCCGCGGCGGAGGCGCTGGAGAGATCTCAGGCGGCTTAGTCGGGGATTCGCTGGAGGCGATAGATGGAACTTGAAAAGCACGTTTGCGGGAGGTGAATTTGATGGGATTATTGCGTTTGGGTCCTTTACATTATACTTTTTTACATTCCAAATATCTTTAACGCTTTTTCCGGTTCATTAGATTTGCCGACAAATGAAAATTCATCTAATATTAAATCTGAACCGTTAAGACGGACTTGAGATTTGTGAAACATTAATTCAGCCTTTTTTTTCCTGAAAAAAGAGCAGTTTTACAATTACCAAATTACTTTGTGGCTTTTAGTAATTGTTATGAAGCTGAGGGATCATCTATAATATATATCTATACTACTATATAAAAGTGGCTTGGGATTCCACTCTTAGCAAATCCCGATCATTTATTTATAAATTTTAAAATAATCTAGAACGTCCATTTTTATGACTCTTCAAATTCTTTATTTATAACACATTTGCATAACTTCTACCTACAAAACATTTATTCACTCATTAAAAAAAAATTAATTTCACAAATCAAAGCTAACGTTTCTATATCCTGGCTATACCGAGCGTTACCTGCCAATTAATTATTTTAATTATATTATAGTAATTATCATGTCGTTACAAATATTGATCATTCATTTCTTTAAATTAAAAATTATTTTATTAATCTATCATCCGATCGCGCCTCTTCGTTTCTTCAGTTTTGTATTAAGGCTACGACTATTCGTCTTTTCCTTACTAGGAATTCTCAATTTAAACATGTTCGCCTTCTTCTACTTCAAACGAAAATAGAAGTTCTGAAGGACTCGCTAAATACCTTCTTCACTCATTATTCCTGTCAGATCGGATTATTTGCTGTTTCATTGGAGATGCCCTTAGATATATAAATATATGAGGTAAGGTTTAATTTGAAGCATCTTTCCTACTGCATTTTACAATAACTTTTTAGTACATAAATTTTTTATTTAAAAAATTTTCGCACTAAAAAAACTGCCTAAAAAATCATAAAAAAATTGTCCCAAAAGAAACTTAAAAAATTCGTGGAAAAAAATCACGAGTCAATGCACTCTGCTTCTTGAGTAATCTAAAATCAATCTAGTCAACTAGAGTGCAAGCTAAAATTTTATAAGTGTTGAAGTATTTGAAAACGTAAGCTCTATTTGAAACAGCTTTCTTACTGCTATTTAAAGCAACTTTTTAATACAAAAATTAAAATTTTTGCACTAAAATACTACTTTTAAAAACAATAATAAAGCCGTCCCAACAAAGCCTTAGAGCATTCCATGCATTAGAATCTTCTAAGAACTTTCAAAGGCCCCATGACCTATTGAAACTACCAAAAAAACTTCCCCAATACCTAAAGAAACTCAATTAGATGGGAAAAATATGCCACAATTTAAATTTTTGACGTGCTTTATTAGGATAAAATAAAATCAAATCAATCTTATTTGGGAGGATTTTTAGTATTTTATTATCCGTTTTCATCTATTGAAAATGTTTTACCATACATTTTCTTATAGATTCCAATTATTGAATCCCAAATAATTTGATGAAGAATAGGTTGCTGGATGAAAATTCTTGGTCTGTACAGGGTTGTTGCAGCTTTTTTAAAAGCGATTGAAAAGCTGTTATAAATGATACAAATTTTTAAAAAGTTGTTATGAATATTATAAATATTATATTTTTTAAAAAATATCATATAACAATTGTATTGCAGCTACCACATTCTAATAGATATAATTCTAAAAAATAGCCTCTCACAATATATAAATTTTTAAAAAGGGCTAGAAAATAATAATCACATTGATGCTAACAAATATCTAAATAACAAAGCAATGAAAAATCTACCTCAAATAAATCCTTAATCTCTTAAGTGAATTATTACCAAAAAAGCTCGATTAGATCTTCACAAAAAGGATGAAATAAAGCGATTAAATGATACTACTTAGGTTTCGTTTGGGACGGCTTTTTTACTGCTTCTTAAAGCAGCTTTTTTTGTTGAAAAATTAAAATTTTGTACTAGAAAGCTGCTTTAAGAAGCAATAATAAAGCCGTCCCAAATGAAGCCATAATCTCGTGGATAAAGATCATCCAATAGAAGCATTAAACAAAAGTCTTTAAATTTTGTTTGGGACAGCTTTCTTGTTCTTTCTCAAACTTCTTTTCAGTACAAAAATTTTGAATTAAAAAAAAAATTGTACTAAAAACCAGCTTCAAAAAACAATAAGAAAATTATCTCAAACAAAACCTTAGAGAGAAATTGATTCTCAAATCTCAATGTAAGGAGATCCTCACTCTTCCCGAGTCTCACATATCTCTGCATCATCAAAAAATACCAGAAAAATAATAGTGAACTATCCATGAGAATAATTTAGTGTAACAAGTTGATTACCAATAGAATTTACCATAAGAAGCATCCCAATAAAATGAGGCAAATCTATTATCATAGAACAAGCTTAGGATCTTCACATTCTTTAGTATTACATTGCAAAAACTATCAACAGCCTAAAAAAAAGCCATGACCTCTTGTAGAATAGTTCAGAAAGTATTGCTTTCTAAGTACATGATAGATGTAAGGGACTTCTTCTTTCATGAGTAGGTATATTAGAAACAAAAAAACCATTTACAGTTGAGGGAAAAGGGAGAAACCAGCTTGTACCTAAAAAATAAGATTATGCAAGGATAGTAAGGTTATGATATCCTATTTGCCACCATGCTTGCGCTTTTGGTTTCTTGGTGCTTGATTCCTGTTTGCATTCTGGCCACAGATTGTTTTCTTACTGCAGAATATGCAGTTGGAATCATAAATTTGAAGAAAAATCAACAATAAACAAAGATAACAAGGGCTAAGGGCATCTCCAATGGAACGGCAAACAACCGTTTGTCTGTCGTGCTTCCGTCACTCCAACCGAGCGGCAATTTTGACGCTATTTCATCACAGGTGAGCAGTAAGACGCCAATATTGGCGTCCCACTGTTCACCCGTAATTTATTATTATTTTTTAATTTAAAAATTATATAAAATGAAGTATGGGAAAGAATATACTAGGAATATTCTTTTTTTGGTGTTAGAAAATGGAGTTCGGTTGGAGACAAAGTTATTACATTTTGGTGTATTTCTGCAATTTGGAGTGAAAAATTAATTTTTCGGTTGGAGATGCCCTAAGTGCTAGATATGACTATAGACAACAAAGACAGGTTTGGAGATCTGACAAACCAGAAAATAGCCGAAAGAAGTCTGAGTAGGAAAAACATGGGAAACCCCAAGATTGCAGATGCCTGCAATGAAAGGATCGGTGAAAACTTCAGATGAAATACAGCTGAAAGAAGAAAACTTTCAACTGGTGTCTCGTACAAGTTTATTTTTTTGAAATAAATGAATTGAGCCATTCCAGCTTTAAAAAAAGATTCGTAGGTTGCATACCAAAAACCATGAAAGTTCCGTAGTTGCGAACCGTTTAGTTAAATCATGTTTCTTTAGGTTCTCATGGACAGTGACTTTAACCTACAAAATGGAAGAATGCGAAGTTAGATGAAATGATTTAGGGTTCATTCGGGACAGCTTTCTTAATGCTTTCTAAAACATTGTTTTAGTTAAAAAATTTCTTGAATTAGAATTTTTTGTACTAAAAAGTTGTTTTTAGAAAGCAATAAGAAAACTGTCGCAAACGAAACCTTAATTTGTTATGTAATACCTCTCCAAATACAGAAGGATGAGTAAATATACAGAGAATGAATGGAATGCGATGTCTAAGGAGTCACAATGCTATTGCTAGAAAGTAAAGTACTGATCACAACTAGCTGAATCAATTGACAATTATTCATGCTTAGTTTTATAACAAAGCCACATTTAGTTTAGAAATCCAGTTGTGAAAATTGCCAATTCTCCTTTCTATTTTATTATAATTTTCTAATCATGATGGTTCAATCTGAAAATCAAGACCAATGATCTTAATGTACACTACAGCTTTCATAAATGTAATTATTGAAGAAAGCATGTGATTAATAAAATGATATAGTCAACTAATACCTTCTCTGATATTATAAGGGCTAACGACAACCTCATACTACTTTACACAGATTCGGCACCTCAACAATCCTAGGAAAACAGAAAACAGTGACCAAGTAATTCTATAAAAAAACAGTTGCAGGACGAATAAAGAATAAGGATTCATTTAGTTAAATCCAAATAATTGAGATATATAATGAAGAAATTGTTTAGAGGAAAATTCAAATTCTATCAATATATATATATAAAAAATGAGTTTTTCGGTTGGAGATGCCCTAAGTGATAGATATGACTATCGACAACAAAGACAGGTTTGGAGATCTGACAAACCAGAAAATAGCCGAAAGAAGTCTGAGTAGGAAAAACATGGGAAACCCCAAGATTGCAGAAGCCTGCAATGAAGGGATCGGTGAAAACTTCAGATGAAATACAGTTGAAACAAGAAAACTTTCAACTGGTGTCTCGTACAAGTTTATTTTTTTGAAATAAATGAATTGAGCCATTCCAGCTTTAAAAAAAGATTCGTAGGTTACATACCAAAAACCATGAAAGTTCCGTAGTTGCGAACCGTTTAGTTAAATCATGTTTCTTTAGGTTCTCATGGACACTGACTTTAACCTACAAAATGGAAGAATGCGAAGTTAGATGAAATGATTTAGGATTTATTTGGGACAGCTTTCTTAATGCTTTCTAAAATAATGTTTTAGATAAAAAATTTCTTGAATTAGAATTTTTTGTACTAAAAAATTGTTTTAGAAAGCAATAAAAAAGCTGTCGCCAACTAAGCCTTAATTTGTTATGTAATACCTCTCCAAATACAGCAGGATGAGTTAAATATACAGAGAATGAATGGAATGCGACGTCTAAGGAGTCACAATGCTATTGCTAGAAAGTAAAGTACTGATCACAAAGCCACATTTAGTTTAGAAATCCAGTGGTGAAAATTGCAAATTCTCCTTTCTATTTTATTATAATTTTCTAATCATGATCGTTCAATCTGAAAATCAAGACCAACGATCTTAATGTACACTACAGCTTTCAAAAATGTAATTATTGAAGAAAGCATGTGATTAAAAAAATGATATAGTCAACTAATACCTTCTCTGATATTATAAGGGCTAACGACAACCTCATACTATTTTACACAGATTCGGCACCTCAACAATCCTAGGAAAACAGAAAACAGCGACCAAGTAATTCTATAAAAAAAAACAGTTGCAGGACGAATAAAGAATAAGGATTCATTAGTTAAATCCAAATAATTGAGAAATATAATCAAGAAATTGTTTAGAGGAAAACTCAAATTCTATTATATTCCTTTGGAATATATATTATAGGAGAATAAACAGAAAAATAAAAGATATTTAATCTAACTAATTATAATAATTACATCCCACGGATCTCCAACTGTAGCCCTCGGATTGCTGCCCACGAATTGCTGATGTGGCCTCCCCTTAATTGCATGATTCAACACTCCCCCTCAAGTTGGGTTGTACAGGTTGTACAATCATAACTTGCCAAAAAAATTTATCAAGTAGAGAGCCCGGTAGTGCCTTTGTTAGAACATCGGCAAGTTCATGAGTTGGAGTATATACTACCTTAATTTCGGAGTTCTCAATTTTCTCAGATATAAAGAGTCTATCAATAGTAACATGTTTTGTTCTATTGTGATGTACTGGATCCTTGGTCATACTGATTGCGATTTGATTGTCACATTTCAACTTTATTATGCTTTCAATCTTTATTCCCAATTCAATCAATACTTACCTGATCCAAATACTGTCACAAATAGTAACTGCTAATGCTTTCAGTTCAAATTCTGCACTACTTCTAAAAACAACATATTGTTTTTTGCTCCTCCATGTTACTAGGTTCCACCACACAAATGAATATTATCCTGTGGTCGATCGACTATCAACCTGACTTCCTGCCTAATCTGCATCATAATAAAGGATCAATTTTCTATCTTTATTTTTCTTGAATAATAGCCCTTTTCCAGGAGTGTTCTTGAGATATCTCAAGATTTGATATACTGCCTCCATGCACTCCTTTATAGGATTACTCATATATTGGCTTACCGTACTCACAGCAAACCCAATATTTGGATGGGAGTGGAAGAGGGTATATAAGCTTTCCTACAAGTCGTTGATATCATCCTTTATCTACTGGAACTTCCTCCTTTTCTATCCCAAGTTTTTTCTTAGAATCCATAGATGTACCGGTTGGTCTGCATCATAACATGCCGGTCTCCTTCAGTAGGTCTAAGGTATACTTGCGTTGCGAAATAAACATACCTTTGCTTGATCGAGCTACCTCCATACCAAGGAAGTATCTACGTGATCCTAGATATTGGGTTTGCTATGAGCCAATATATGAGTAATCCTATGAACGAGCACATGAAGGCAGTATATCAAATCTTGAGATAGGAAATTGATCCTTTATTCTGATGCAGATTGGGCATGAAGCCAGGTTGATAGTGTAAAACCCGAAAATTTATCGATCATCAACGTCGCACGCATTTCGATACGCCACGATGAAAGTAAGCGAAATTTTAAAGTCGTCGAAATTCGACTCAATAAATTTTATAAAATTATACGCGAAATTTCGATCGAAACGATATAAAGAACATTTACCTAATTTTACACAATTTTAAAATTAAAAATCATCTAAGTTCATTTAAGTAAACTTTAACCCATTTTGCCCATTCTACCCCTCATGAAGCTTTAGGGAAAAGTTAAGTAGGAGGGGCACATGTGTAATTCTTCCTCATACCTCAAAATCTTAAGGGACCAAAATATTTCGGTCCCATTTGTTGTTTGCTCGGTTGGCCGAACGAAAGGAGAGGGAGGCAACGGGAGAGGCGAACGACGACCCTAGGGGCGGATTCTAGCGGCCGATCATGGAGGAAATTGTAGGGAAGACTAAGAGAAGGTTAAGATAAGCTGTATTTAAGAGATTTCTCATTCTTTTGTGAAGTTTTCTTTAAGCAAAAAATCTAGGGTTTGATGAAAACTTTAAATCTCTGTAAGAAAATGATAGGGGGTTTAGGAGATGGCTTTATGCATGAAAATGAGATGTTTTCTTAAAAATTTTAGATGTTCAAAATTATAGTTTTTTTCGATTTTCGCTTCCTTTCAAAATGACTTGGTAAGAATGCTTCCTAATGACATTAGAAAGCTTCTATAGAAGTTGATTTAATTTTGTGATGCAATTTCAAGTTTTTAAAAATTAGGGTTTCCCTAATTATAAAACCCTTAAGCATTATGGTTCTAATTGAACTTAGGAAAAGTTTTAGAGCTGAAATTTAGAGTTTTCATATAAAATATTATTTTTTATAATTTAAATTTGGTTTAATCCGAAAATTTATAGTATTTTATTTTAAGTATTAAGTGTATGGGGAGGTTCTTTATGCATGTGTTATGTAATGGACATGAATAAGGTTCCTAAAAAGTTAATATCATGATGAAATCCCAAATTTAGAGAAATTAGGAATGAGATTAATCTTGGATTAGGAAAGGGTTCAATTAGGAAATTTAAGAATATCATATGGGTATGATCTTTATTCTCATATTTTAGGATTTTGAGAAGTTTATGTGGAAACATGTGACATTTACGTATTATATTATGTTTCTTTTAAATATTGAACATGCAAAGTGAAGAATTCGTTAAGACATTTGGCAAATCACATCATGCTGAGGTAGGTAAAATGAAGTTCTTTTAAATTTGGAAAATTCTCTAAATGCAATCATGTAGAAAGTTATCTTTAAATGCAACTTATACCTTCATATGTGGCTTAGAATATTTCTTACATGAATACTTTTGAATGTATAATGCAAATGCATAATTATCATGTGATGATGGTAGAAAGTGTAAAGCTTATGGCTCTTTTTATATATATAATGCATGTCTCTTTTTATATATTACAAAATCATCTCTTTCCTTATGAAATTATGCAATCATGTAGCAACATATGAGAACATTAGACCATACGCATGAATAGCATGTTAAAGTCTCATTTATGAATAAAATTGAATGTTGCATGTGTATGTTTGATGCGAAATATCAATGGTAAAGGGGCTCTTTTGAGACAGTGATAAATGAGCTCTTTTGAGCCAATAGTAAAGTGATTCTTCAGAGTCAAATGGTAAAGGACTGGCCAATTGAAAAGTGTACATGATCAATACAAAACAAATGATACTTCCGTGACGGGCGATTAATATTATGTCATAATGATATCATGTCATTATGTTATAGGTATAAGAGGCATCAAATGAATCATGAATATTTGATGAAAAATGATTGCAAGCTTATGCAAAAAAATAGAACATAAAAATTGACTTAGAGGCATTTTTACTCTAGATGATGTATTATGGCATGTTGAATGTTTCTTTACTTATAAGTATATACATGTTGTACTCATTTCCTTGCCTCTAAATTTAATTGAATGTCATTTTATCTACTGAGTTGTGACTCACCCAACTTATGAAACATTTTTT